AGGGTTTGTCTGTTCTAACCGGAGAGGTTTACCAGCCATACGTTTGCTAAAAATTGAGAAAAATTAACCTGGAATATTCTTTTAGAAACGCTAAAGTTAATTGGTTCGTTTTCTATAAGTGCTTATTTTTGATTTCTTTTTTAATCGTAATTTTGTGATTTCACTGTTTACTGTCCCTGCGAAAATTTTAACTGGCTGTCATATATTCTGTACGTTTGAAGAATAGAGATGTGGGTAACTACGCTGAATCAGGTAATGAACCGTTTTATGCGAAACTGCTACTAAGGAGTGTTTGCTAAATGGAAAAGATTAAAAACTAAAGACGATCAGCTTTTTATGAGGGAGTGCATGCATCTCCTTAATTCGGTGAAGTATTATTTCTTCGTGTGGTTTTGTTATATACACGATGATTGTTAGTCTCGCTTCGTAAACATGTGACTACCACTTTGAACAAATCTTAAGCTCTGTCTGTGTCTCACAATGTAATACCTTATTTCGAGTGCTATCTGTCATTTCTTTAGGAATCAGCATATTTTCTTGGCAATTAGTTTGTTTTGCGTGGTGATTATACATATAGGCTGAAAGATGGATGTAAGTTAGCGTACAACGTTTAGTAACAGAGTAAGCTGCCCCCCTCCCCTACCGCGTTTTTATCGATATATTTTTATTCATATTTTTCATACGTTATACCTTTCAAGAATAGCATTAGTAGAGTATTTTGCAGCCACAGACTAAGCGTCTAAAATCATCTGAAGGTAAACTGATTGATTTTTGATCCGATGGTTTTGTACGCAACGGATTAGTCTGGTCGAACAGCGTAAATATTTCTCACCTACTTTTCGGCCGTAGCACAACCGTTATCTTCGTGGTAATAAAACGTTTACTCTGTTCATCAGACTCCCTTGCCTCCTAAATCATAGTACTAAGGCACATCGTCAATTAATAAGCCTTCTTTATCAATGGTTGGCAGCACGTTGTTGAAGTGATTTCGGCCTGTTAACAATAACAAGCAGACTGGCCATACTGTGTGGGCGTTTATTTTTAAGACTGATGCTGATGCCGTTCTAACCATGAGAAACGATTTGTTTTGTTTTTCGTGCTGCTAACCATTGAATCAAGGTTAGAGGTGAACATACGCTATAATTTATGTTCATTCTTTTTACACCTGCACTACGTTCATTACTAAGGGTTAATGATATAGTCAATAACCAAAATAAAAAATAATGTACAATATCCTGATGTTCCTGATGTTTCATCGGCAATGTTCTCTGAATATACACTGTTGTATTGGATTGGTAATCTGCCGGATCAGAGTGGAACGGTGGAAATGACTCCAGTGTAACATGGATTAGCCGTACATTCTCCGAAATTAACAAATTATCATCGGTCTCAAAAATTGTACTCTACACTTGAATTCCCTTCTGCGTTTCGTGATTATGAGAAAGAAAAATAGAGTTTTGTTTCTACCTCTTATAAAACACGTCTGCCATCATTTCCATACATTTATAAGAAAGAAGTTGGAAAATGTAACTAGTGTGAGCATTCGCATATTAATTTGCTCAATCGATCGATCGCTTGAAAATTTGAGTTTTCATGAAAGCCTAAATTTTCATTTATAGTTTTGGACTTGATTTTTTAAAATTCGTTAAGTGGACATGAATCGTCCGAGAACGCCTTACCGCACGCCGGGTAGAGCAAAAGAAAAGGGTAACATGGAGCCAGTCGAGGTTTGACTGAAATTTTATGATTAGCAGGTATAAAATGATTTAGAATCATGCTTTTGATAGGTTTATTGCCGTCTCAGACCGGTGGAGGACATCAACGCAGAGATCTGTGCTGAGGCAGTCGATGAACGGACGTTACAGGTGTTTTCGCCTACAGGTAGTAGCAGCGGTGGAGATGGTCTCGTTATCAAAGGGGTACTGTTATACTTTCAATCAAGATTTAATTTTCGAGTTTTTTTTATATATTTGTTGAGGAATGGATTATACGCTGTCTCTCAAAAGCTGCTACTATTATTCTAAACATGTTTGGCAGTATTCCGTTGATAAGCCTAAAGTGCGATTTTTAATGATGGACTAGTTGTAGGCTGAAGGAGCAGACTTATAAATACAGACTAGCAGGATACTAACTAACAGACTAGCAGGATACTTAGTCTTCTGTTTTGTTCGGTGCTAGCCCTTTGACCAAACTGCTTAGGTAGCCATGAAGGCAAGCACGCGTAATACACAGCGCCCGTTTGACTCCAAAAATTTCGCTATCGCTTCAGGTTGCGTTTATTCAGCCCCGAACATTTAGCGAAAACATTCGCACAGAAATAAACTAAATATGTAACTAATTGCAGCTTATTTTCTAAAGGTCATTGTTGAATCGTGTGGGGTTTCTTCAGAAATGAGGGGCTTTTTTCCCTCGATCCGCATGTTTGATAAGCTGCAATAATTTAACAATCGGTCGTAGTGGCGTGGCCTTCCAAAAGCCATTCTACAAGGTGCTGTTCAAACACGAAGATACAGAGAAAGCCTGAAAATCAGACTTGGCAGGCAGCGCACGGCTTTGCAGAGAAAACCGCTATCAGTGGGAAACGTTTTCTTTGACGATTCTATGCTGATGGTCTTGCCTCCAATCGATAATCTGATATAATAATTAGTTCTTTTGAGGGACTTGTGGATCAGACTCTGGGGCAGAAAACGTTAAACTGTTCTTAGAATGGATCTTATCGAGGCTACAGATAAAGTGAGTTGGCCATGGATAAAGGATTTTACCTCGAATCTTAAGAAGATTCATTTAGACTAAATTAACGTTTTTAAGTGACGTGTTTATTGAGATGTGGATGTTAACTTTCATCTTCATCTTCATCTTCCATCGCCGCTTCTCCTTTCGGGTCGCGGAGGCAGACGCGTCAGAC